GTTGCTTTATTTGCGTAGGTCGACGTATGCCAAGCCGCACCTCAAATTCCCGATACAAACTACCGTAAAACGCAAATCATACCAAACGGTGCTTGCCTCACCGCGCCCCCACGTAGCCCCGGGGCTTGAATCGCTTCAGCACAGGATTTAATGAATTTACATTGGGCGAGAAAACATATCTGCTGCAATCGCTCTGATGAATGATATTCTTCCTACCCACCCGTGGAATAAGAATCCTGAGACCAGTTGGATCTGAAGATACAGTTTAGTTACACCTTTTGCTGCTTTTCGATAAGGGTTTGTAATATAACCATAAACACTGTTACGACCTTTTTGAAATACTTTCAGCTTTGTGTACGGCCTATCAGTGCCTTTCCCTGAACATATTCGAACACACTTCTCAAGAACAGTACCTGGCGATAATACCCGAGCAAACACCAAATGCCAGCACTTTGGGTCCCTGGCAAAGACTCAACAATCAACTATGGTTCTCGGCTCTGTCAGGTCTGTCTGGATCGACTGGGTCTATGCTAACTTAGTTCATAGTAAATGGTAAATGGACTGTAATTATATAGCGCCTTTCTAGTTTTCCGACCACTCAAAGCGCTTTTAGATTACATACCACATTTATCCATTCACACAAATTCATACACTGATGGCAAAGGCCATCATAAACGGGGTGAATTTTGCGTATTCGCCCAATTCATGTTATTTGTGTCATCTTTGCATTGACTTTATATGTAATCTCATCAAGCAAAGATTTTGCTTCGCTTTATGTGTGAACACAGCTTTAACCTGTAGGGTTTCAGTGCTGAATCAGTCACAGTGTGTTTTTCAGGTCTTCAAGAGATAGGCCTTAGGTCCAAGTAAACAAATAGGTATGGTGAAGAACGGGGATTAATTCCAAGTCCAGCTGTTGACTGAACTAAACCATGAACTGTTGTTGTTGTTCTCCCAGGACATAGCCACCATGCAGCTTTGTGCCAACAAGCTGGATAAAAAGGATTTCTTTGGCAAGTCTGACCCTTTCCTCGTCTTCTACCGGAGCAACGAGGATGGGACGTAAGTGTGTGTTTTTGTTAGGTGCGTGTGTTCATTAAATGACTGTAAATCCTTTATTGTTCAGTCCATCTGTTAGTCCTTCAGCTGAGGCGAGTGTGCCACAACTCTTCCCTTGTTACTGACAGCAACTGAAAATCTGCCAGCAGATTTCTCTGTTGGATCCAGTCCCACGAGAAGTTTGAAAGCTTCTTGCCTGTCAGATGGAAGAAGGGCTAATAGATTTTCTTGACACTAAGACAGAAAGTTCTAATCTGTACTTACTGTAGTCTTCAATATTTCAGACATACAGTTCAGGATCAAAACCCTCTGTGAGCTTGTTGTGTTTCTGCTGTCTCATGCTGAAGATTTCATTCAGTTGAGATGCATTTCAAAAGGCTGTCTGTGTGTCTAAATGAGCTACCTTTGAATACTCACCCAGTGAGCAAAAATATTACACATATTTTTTATTAAGGCAAACTTTTACATTACATTACATACTACAGGAATTGGAGATCAAACCACTTTGTCTCTTTTTGAGAGATTTCCTATCCATCCAACCCGTCTCACTCCCATGTCATCAAATATTGCCCCTTGTTCAGTGGTCCACCACTACAAATTATGACGCTTTAGCAGAGCCGTTTCTTGCTATATGCGGACTATGCGGCTGCATGGCCCGCAGCCACCAGGGGGCCCCCAACTGCAAGTTCAGACTCATATTTTTATTATATTTTAATTAAAAATCAGTCTGTTATTTGCATGTATTGCAATGTATTCATTATGGATTTATTTGCAAAGCATGTGAAGTGTTCGTGGGATCCTGTCACAAAGTTAGTGATGTTGTACAGTTAATATATGGTCATACAATACAATTATAAACTACATAACTAGTTTTTTATTTATTTTTTATTGAATTGTCCAATAACATGGATGCCTGATCCATTATATACTTATTATTTAGGTAAGTTAGTTAATTTATTTTTTTACTGTTTGGAATGGTGGGGTTAAAGCTTTTTTGATGCTTATGTCACCTCAAAGTTGTCATTAAATAAGTTTTTCAAGAACATACCGTATCTTTCCTCTTAAATTGTAAAGACTGCTGCCATCCTTTAAGAATATAGAAAAAGTTGAGGATCTCTAATCAGAAGTTTGAAAATAGGGGCCCCCCAAAATAATCTCGCATATAGGGCCCCCCAAACAGCTAGAAATCGCTTTAGGTATCCCTCTAGCATAATTTCTGCGCACACCCGCCGTCAAAGTCCAGTGACATAGTATAAAGAGTGAGAAAATCCATATATGGAGCTGGTGGGATGGATGGGTGGCTCAAAAAACACAGGACTTTGACCCAGGAGACTGCTGTTGGTGTCCTGTTTAAAACCAAAAGTCAACAGTTTAAGTAACGCATTTGATGTACTTAAGTTACTTCAGGTATGTTATATTAGTTATGTTTTACTCATGTACTCAAGTGCGAAATGAACCGTATAATCTTTTCCTACACTAAACCAAGTAGTTTTTGTGCATAATTAAAATGTGATTGTTCACAATGTTAACCACACAAGATTTATTTTGAAAGTCTAATGGGCAAAATCCACTTGATGTGGCTACAACACATTCTGGCAGCACCGCAGCTGGTCTATCTATGTCGCCGGGATACGACTTAACGCGCCAAGCAGCACATAGCATGTGCTACACGTTATATCCACATTGTGGCACACCGGGTCAGAAGTCAATCATGGTAGAAGTGCTAATATCAAGAAAAAAAGACAAAATAAAGTCAACAATGTCAGGCAGGCAAGACGCTCTGCATCTAAAATGTTGTCAGTGGAATTTGAAGACACATGGATGACGAAGACATGGGTCGACACCATGCATGGATGAATTTTGTCTTAGCTGGATGTTGCAAATGTATTCTTGCTAGCTTGACTGTCGAGCCCTGCACATGCAAAAATGACGGAAGCGGAGGGTCCACTGACCAAGTGACAGTATTTGACAAATTGAAAGTGAGAATGTGTTGGTCTATCCCAGTTCCCATTAACCTGTTTTAAAAAAAAAAAAAAAAAGCTTTAAAGAATTGTCATCCTTACCATGCTGAGCTGTCTCTTTGTGTTTTCAGGTTCACAATCTGCCATAAGACTGAGGTGATCAAGAACAATCTGAATCCTGTTTGGCAGCCTTTCACCATCCCTGTTAGAGCACTCTGTAATGGAGACTATGACAGGTAAGGGGACAGCACCGGGGTCAGAGGGTAGATGATGTTATTATGATCCACCAATTCCTTTGAAGTGTCAGAAGGATTTTGAGTAGTCTGACTGCTATATAAATAAATTACCTTATCTTCATCATGTTGGTTTTGAAAATCAAAAAAGGTTTTTCACATCTTCTTGGTATAAAATGTGCTTCATATTTCATTCAGGAAGAATAACAGCTGTAAATTACACTGGATAACAATAATGTCCAAGAATGGTGGAACCAAAACATACAATATAAAAATTGTGAATTTATGTTTTGTTTTGTATATGTTTATGTTACATATTTATGAAATTTGCATAGATGCTTGGTATCCTGTTGAGAACCTAATATAGGCCCACTTCATTTATTAGGTTTAATACATGTTTCAACAATTGACAGTAGTGAACAGAGCTTCCGTGTTAGTGAAGTAAAGCCAAGTTGGAAGTGTCTTAAACCTGTATTCTATAATAATATTCTGTAAATGAGGGTCCCATTTAAAGTAAAATAGACAATAAAGCAGGGTATGACTTTTGACTTTAGAACTTAATTGATGTATTGTTACCTAACAGCTTGGCACATTAGATAGTTGTTTGTTAGATTTGTCAATGCCCAAAGTCTCCAGAGACTTATTATCCAGGCGTGTGGGTTACTAATCTTTAAAACCTACTGGAACTACTGGAAATATTGACTTCTTAAGATGTTGTTTTTTTATAAAGCTGAATATGCGAAGATGAGGGTCAGACTCTGTGGTGGTTAGAATAATGCCAGCAGTCGGCCGTGCTGTCAGTCTCAGGCCAGTGCTGGTGTTATTGAGACCAACATGGAGGCAATGCAGCAACAAAATCTAAATGATTGTACTTATACTGACCATAAACCATCAAGTCAAGTCAACTTTATTGTCAAGTATGCTATACATGCACGACATACAGCATAGATGAAATTTCAGTCCTCTCGGACCCCACGGTGCAACAGGCAATAAAATGTTTGTTTTTCTTCTATATAATAGAAAAGACATAAAATAAACAATGAACAAGACATAAGTCAACAATCAACAATTAAGGCACTCAGGTATTTACATGGTGAAATAAAATAGGATAAATAAATATGTAATTAAACAGGTGAGGTAGTGCGGTGTAGTGCAAATACAAAACAGGGGAAAGTGGAATGTGCAGTCCTGAGTTCAGAGTGTGTGAGTTGTTCGGAGGGGTCCTTAGTCTGTGGCAGGGGGCAGAGGTGGAGTGACGGTGAGCAGGGGGAGTCTGAGTCTCCTGACCAGCCTGGTGAAGAAACTGTCCTTGAGCTGCTGGCTTTTACCTCCCGGAGAATCTGCAGTCTCCTCCCCGACGGAAGCAGGCTGAAGAGGCTGTGAAGATGGGTGGGTGGGGTCCTGCAATCCAGATGGCTTTGCTGGTGAAGGCGGGTTCTTATAAATTGTTCCAGAAGGTGGGGGGGGGGGGGGGGGGGGGAGCAATGATCCTCTCAGCTGCTCTCACGATGCGCTGCAGGTCTTTGCGGCAGGACACGGTGCATGGCGCCGTCACACGGTGATGCAGCTGGTCAGGATGCTCTCAATGGTGCCTCTGTAGAAGGTGTGCATGTGGGGGGCCGGCTCCTGCTCATCCCTCGTTTGCGGAGGAAGTACAGGCGCTGTATTGGGCTTTTTGGCCAGTGATGCAGTGTTGTGTTGTGGCTCTTGGGACAGGTCTTCAGAGATGTGCACACCAGGAACTTGGTGCTGCTCAACCCTCTCCATGCAGCACCCGTCGATGGTTAATGGAGCATGCTGGGTGTGCACTCTACCGAAGTCCACACAATCTCCTTCGTCTTCTCCCACGTTCAGGTGGAGATTGTTGACTTTGCACCACGGCCAGCCTGCTCACCTCACTCCTGTAGGTGTTTCATCCCCGTTTGTTGATGGGATGGGACCCACCACAGTCGTTTCGTCCGCAAACTTAATGAAGAGGTTGGGGCTGAATGATGGTGTGCAGTCGTGGGTCAGCAGAGTGAAGAGGAGGGGGCCTCAGTACACATTCCTTGGGGGCCCCTGTGTTCAGTGTGATGGTGCTAAGAAGGTGTTGCTGCGCCCGAAGCTGCCTGTGGTCTCCGCCGTCCAAGGCAAGTCCAGCAGCCAGTTGCACATGGAGGTGTTGAGCCCCAGCTGGTCCAGTTTGTGGATGAGCTGCTGGGGGATGATTGTGTTGAATGCTGAGCTGAAATGAGCACTTCATGAGGATGGGAGTGAGTGCGACCGGGCGGTAGTCATTGTAGCAGGAGGGGGACGACTTCTTCGGGACCGGGATGATGGTGGTGGCCTTTGAGGCCCTGGGGACAACAGCCTGGCCTGCAGCGGGTGTTGAAGATGTCGGTGAAGACATCTGTGAACTCCCTCGGCACAGTCTCTCAGGAACACGACCAGGAATGTTGTCAGGACCCTGGGCTTTCCGTGGGTTCGTCCTTCTGAGGGATCACCATCATTCCAGGTTCAACTTTATCCTAAACTAGTTTTAAACCAGGACCTTGTAGAGGTGAGGAGCAGCCTGAGAACTCAATTCTCAAATTCAGAATTCAGATTGGTTCTGATAATGATGAACTACAGGAACTTAAACCAAAACTGACCTTTTTACCGTCATTTCACCACTTGACTTTACTGTAGCAGAAATAGTTTTGTGTTGGACAGTGACAAGATTTACGCCGAAGACATTACAGAAAAATGCCGAACTAGACAACTTTCCCATTTGCAAAGAAGTGAAAGTGAAGGCGTTGGCTCATTAAACATTATGCTCTTCAGCCTAAGTGACCACTACACTGCCTGGACACACGATAGTCATAGATATGTCTTTACCAATAACAAATACCAGTGTGTGTATATCATAATATCATATTCATATTATATATCTTATTCCTCTGTTGTTGCCAAAAACTATTAAAAACACGTCAATGAGCCAGACTGTTGCACTGGGTGACATGTTCCCTCATAACCATGAACACACACTGTAGTTTAGGTACTTTGGATCAGTCCCACATACACCGTCCTTCTGCCCCAAATACTCAGTAGAACACAAATGTGGATTAATCCACTGTTGGAAATAGTCCTCAACAAAATCAGAAAGTCAGTGTAAACTGAAATGATTAAGACCTGATTAATGCAGGTCCCGCATTATTAATTTAGAGGCCCTGACTTGTCATGGTGCCAATATCTAGTCTATCATGATTACTTTAAAGTAGCCACAGGTACTGGTTGGTTTCTGAGGCTCTAGGCAAAACCTAATCGAAATGTTATGTGTATTCTACTGTGGGTACTGTACTTGATGGATACCTGATGAGCCTGTTCACACCTGGTATTAGAATGTGTCTTGGTTGATCCGATCACAAGTGGACAGTTCTAAATACAACTGTAAATGACCGCCAAGACATTGTGATCACTCAAACCACTTGCTAAGATGGTCTGGGACCACATATCTTTTGTAGTATAAATGCTAATGCATCCTGGGCCACAAATGACGACCACCTACGCACTGACATCCTGTAAGTACACACAAAACACACTATCTATTTAGTTCACTGTGATGTAAATTATGTGCTAGGGCTCTTTAACCTGCCAAGATAAGCAGCAGATGTCTGCCTGTTTCAATTGATTTGACCACAGAACTAGTAGCCACTATATCCCCAGACTCCCTTCAAACATTTTGGTAGTTACTGAGTGAGGAAAAACGTTCTAAACTTTGTGAAACATTATCTATGACATATTGTTAATTATTTGGGCCTTCTTGTAAATTCGGGAAACGTTACACATGAAGTTATTTCTTACTCAGTTATTTCCCAGTGTTTTGGCTAGACGGCGGTACAACCACCTCCTACTACTGTCCACTGTGAGTGACTCTCACACTGACAGCCTGTGAGCAGCAGTGGGAGCATGACACACACTTTTACTTTCCCTGGCATTAATGTCTTTCTTTGTCATCTGTGATGTGAAAACATCAGATTACCACAGAAAAAGAAGAAATGTGTGTTCTGCTCATAAAGTTCAGACTCTCCTCTACCTGTCAAGGTTGCTGACAGTGCAGGTAGAAGCGACGGGTTAGTGTGTCACTGAACCAAAAAACAGTGGACATTGACAACATTTTGAGTAGGGTACAGCCCTATAGAGCGAGGAAGTGAGATCTGATCACAAGTGGAGACACTTTCTAATACCAGCTGTAAACAGGCTCTGGCATTATTTAATATTTCATTATGCTGTTGACAAAGTGTTTTCATGGAGTGTATGCTGTGGAGTGAACATTGAATATTATAAGTGTCTGTGTTTGCATTGCGAAATACAGGTATATTCCTTTAAAACTCCTCTTTGTACAGGTATTGTTATTAATTTTTTATAATAATAACTGTATTATCTTTATTTTGTAATAGGCATCCTTTTAATATGTGTTGCTTTTAAAATATGAAATATCCTTTGATGTGAAGGCCAAGAAAAATGTTTACTTCCTGACTCATTGTCCCTCCGTCGATCTCTCTCCTCTGTCTCCCTGCCGCTTCTCTTTCTCACCCTCACACTCTCTCTCCTCTCTGTGAATCTCACCTCTGCTCCCTCATCTCACCTCCCTCCAGGACGGTCAAGGTGGACGTTTACGACTGGGACAGAGATGGGAGGTAAGTTCTCTCGCTCGCTATCTCTCTCTCTTTTTTTTTGTTCTTTTCTTTTATTAATTTTCAGCTCCAGATTGAATCCCTTGGATGTCACACCTTGTTCCATCTGGGTGCAGTTCTTTCAGTCAAATTATTAGGTATTCGAACAGATGGAGGGCTCCATCCGCCTGCCACAAGCTGGGTGATAAATCAAAAACAACTTATAGGTGAAAGGTGAAAGCTGATTGGACAGTGGTCAGGGTTTTGGCCGCAGTACTGACATAGCTTCTCTTTCTCTCTGACAGTGGGTCACTGTAGGAGCTCTTCTCACACACGTAATTGGAAACCTCATGTGGGTTTTTCGAGCTGTCTGTCCATGTGTTACTGCTGTCCATTCATTTGAATTTCTCCCAGATTTACAAATCCCTGCCATGCAATGTGTAAGATGGGAGGAAACTCAAGGTCATTTTTTGTCTTGAAGCAAAGTGTATCAGTCTAACGCAGTCATCAGACAGTAATTCTCTGCAAAGGTTGCTTTTTCAGAGACAGACAGACTTTTTTTGATAGTGCTGGCCCCACAGTGTCTGCTTAGAAAAGATTCTGCCCCTTGGACAAATGTAGTTGAAAACCCCTTCCCTAGACTAATATTATATTTCTATTTTCCAGTTTTAACTATAGCATCTAAAGCATGCATTAGACATTATTCTGCACTTGACACTAAAACAGGATCCTGTTCCCGTTTAAATCTGAGCAGATTTTAATGTTAAGCTTTAGATTTCCTTAACCAATGACTGCTGATTTCATATTCTTATTGAACTGTTGCTCCGAGGGATTTATGTCTCTTTCTGCTCTTTCAATTGTCCTTCTAGTAGAACCACTGTACAGTGTTTTGTTCTCTGTGTACAAAATATTACTTTTTTGCAAACTCTTCATACAAAATAAATACATTTAAAAGAAGACTTTCTACAACCTAAAAGCATGAAAGTACATTCAGAAATATAGAGTAGTCCTCCCAGCCATCTGATTTTGAGCAGTAGTGTATATATATAAGAGAGAAGAGGAGGAGGGTGTACATCTTGTGATTAGAGGGCAGTAGATTATATCCACATGCATGACGACACTAGAAAATCTCTTGCTTTCCTGGTAAAGACCTAAACATCTCTTTTATTATCGCTCTCTTACTGCTTCCTCTCTTTCCCCCCGTTACATTTCCTTCCTTCCCCGTTGGGAGATAAACTCATTGTTTGGTCCTTGAGGATTCCCCTCTAAATACCAGCATTGCACAGGCAGCGTTGGTGTCACGCACAGCTTCAGGTGGTGATATATTGAGATGCAGAGATGATCTGAGGGCATGGAGGGAGATGATATTTACTTGTTTAGCTGATGATGCTGGAGGGGATTATTTTCATGTTCAGATGGAAAATGTGTTGTACTCATCAAAACCTTCTTTCCTTTCATTCTGGCACAAATCAAGTGCAGTGACCATGCACTTTAGAAGTGGTGAAATGGCATGCAAATTCAATGCTGTTTTATTGAGTAGCCTAATTAACTTAGCAACTTGTGTTTATGCTACCAATTGTAAGTGTAAAATAAAAATACCTGTGATTGTAGAGGAAAAGCTAATTCCCATACATTTGTTAAACATAATTTCATTATAAGTTGCCATAACTAAAAAAAAAACAAATGTTTGTTGTTAATTCTTTTTAGAGTGGTATATTGGTATACTTGTGTACTTATACGGTCAAAACTGTAATTACCAAAGAGAAGAAATGTAAAAACGTTAATCACACAACGTTCAGAGCATTTTGACCAAAAACAAAATGGTTCAGAACCTCTAAACTTATTGGCACTGCCCTTGAGTGAAATAGCAAGTTTTTAGGGAGTCCAGTGTTTTGCTTGCGTTTATATACCACAAATTTGTTGTCTTTCTTGTTTAATTGAAAGACCTAAAGAGTGCCCGGTGTTCTTGGTATCTTTTATGGAATAAAACCATCTGTTTTCGAATTATCATTCTTTGTTATAGCAGATTTAGCACAGAATGCTAATTCTATATACCTATACCTATACTATTAGGAATCATGTTACTGATATAACAGTTTGCCTCTCTCTTGTCTCTTGTCTGTTCTTGTCTAAATCAACTTTTTTTCCAGTCATGACTTTATCGGAGAGTTCACCACCAGCTACAGAGAACTGTCCAGAGGCCAAAGCCAGTTCAATGTCTATGAGGTAAAATACAAGAATAGCAACTTGATCAGCATAATTAAAAAGGAATACACAGTTTCTCCAAAACTTTGTTTTCCTGAATGTGTAAAGGATATCAAAAATTCAGCAGTGTGAACTTGCAGCAACATCAATAGTTCCTTGGCAGTGTCATTTATTATTCATTTAAGTACTATTTCTTGTATGATAAATTGCAGCCCTCATCTTAGGACAATATATTATCAACATCCACCCACATTGACGCAGACATGCAGTAAATGACTACACATTTTTGCTCAGGCATATTTGTTAAAAAAACTAATTTCTTGTTTCCTGTCTCGTGGTCAAGGTTCTAAATCCTAAAAAGAAAGGCAAGAAGAAGAAATACGTCAATTCAGGAACGGTAAGACCTGTCGGAGTGTGTTTTATTAGCAGCTGTTACATGTTTCATTGAAGCAGGGACATGTCAGAGCAGCAAACTGATGGTGTCTGCCATGAGCCCCATTTATCTGTCCACTGCTGTCTTCCTCTTTGTATCTAACTCTTTCTTTTCCCTTTCACTCTCTCTCTCCATTTTCAAGGTAACCCTGCTGTCTTTCAAAGTGGAGTCAGAATACACGTTTGTCGACTTCATCAGAGGAGGGTAAGAGCTCGGTCTCTAGTGTTTTCTCAGTGTCTATGGGAAGCCATGAAAGGACTGTACCAGTTTTTGCTTGATTTAAGGCAGGGTTGCACCAGAATTGTGCATCTTTGTGAAATATTTGGTTATAGAGTCACAGGGCAAGTTGGTAGACTGCTGTGACTGGTGAGGTACCTGCTAACACGCTAGCCAGCTGGGCTAGCACAATAGCTCTCAGAATGGAGAGCTGCAGGGATGGCGTGTTATTGTAAGCCAACCCGGAAGTTAGCATCGCCCTGGTTCCTTCAACAAAAAGCCAATGGAATTATTGCAGAAAATAAGCTTCTTCATAATGGAACACCACTTTTATTATTTTTGAAACATAAATGTTAGCCAGAAGTAAAAAGCTAATGTTAGGCTATAAACCAGGTCCCCAGGAAGTGCACCAGGCCTCAAAGCCAATTTGACATAGTAGCTGAACCGTGTAATTGCACACTGGCCCAAAAATATCTTTTCCCATAAGGTTATATTGTGAAAGATGCGGATGTAAAATGGTGGATAAATTTTTTGTAGCGTCACAGCCCCCTCAAAATGAATCGCTTATCAGAATTTGATTCATTCAGTCTGATCACATTTGGAAAATCTAGAAGATTTGCAAGATTGAATTACTTAACCCCATCCAAGTTAATGGAGGGCTAAACCGGAAGTTGGCCAGTTCAGCTGGCAGAAGTCTCTGGTGTGCATCCTCTATGGGCCACTGTGGCACAGCTCTCATAGGAATGAACGGAGCGCCACTTCCAATGCTTGTTTCCAATTGCTTTTTTTAAGACACGTAAGAGCTTCAAAAATGTGTTTTATGTCATTAAAGAAAACATGAAAATCTCTTAAGCTTGTGTAATCAAAGACCCTATTTCAGGCATCTAACCAAAAACCTGTTCTAAAAACCCACTGGGACTTTAAGGCAAGATTTGCAGATTTAATTGATTAAGGGAATCCACTGATTGTGGCAATTCCATCGGTATTGATTGAATTGACTGTGCCTTTAGCCTTTTACAAGTTAGGCTATTATTTGTAGAAATGTTTAATCACGTCATGCAGGAAATTATTTCCCACTATTTTCCAAAGCATAATCATAATGTAACAAAGTGGGTAGAGTGACATCAGATGGCCATGCTTCAGGATATTAAAGTTATTTTTTTAGTTTTTCTATCGACAGTAACAGGTTCAAGGATTTTGAGCATTTGGATAAGCATGAAACTCATTGGAATAAAATGACAATATTACCAAGGCTGAGCTTTGATACTGCTATGCTAGAACTCTTCTCAATAGCAACAGGACATATTTTTATGGATACCGTAGATTTTTATTTAATAATATTCTTTTAGCAGATATGATGTCCTCTGTGATGTGATGTTTATCTGGAAGTGGATTTTTGTATTATACTGAAATAATGAAAGCCTGCACGGCTAGAAACCCATTCACAAATCTAAAAAAACTCTGTTTTGAATGATACTCTCACCAGGACACAACTCAATTTCACGGTGGCCATAGACTTCACAGCATCCAACGGTAGGACAGCGCTACATCTTGTGCATGCAGGAAATGTCCACACGTGTTGTTCAGTGAAAATGTTTCACCTGCAATGTTTGTGATTGTCACAGTTATTGCTTTAATTATGGACTCTTTGGGTTGTTCTTGGGTTGCTCCCCTTTGTAATATTCCTACAACATATGATTGTCAGTCACTAGGGCTGTGCACTGGCAAGAATCTGGCGACACGATACTCAGTTTACAACACTGCATTCTAGCGGTTGGGGGTTTAAACACAAAAAACAACAGTGAATCAATACAATATCACAATACAACATTTTTCGATGTTTTCTTATACCCCTTGTTGTCCCTGTGCATATGACTTAGATATGCGCTAAGTAGCATTTAAAAAAAATCAAAACATTGTTGTCAATGTCAACTGATACTTGTTGTTTTGGTGTAATTTCTTACAAATAAGACAATTGTAATTTTCTTTATCCATGTATGTTAAACCAGTGGTATTATACGGAAGCCCAAAGGGACATTTTTTTTTTCAAAACTGGGGGGTACTCAAGGCCTTCAAAATTTTAAGGAGTGTAAATATACAGTAATAAACATGAGATATATACAGACTATATCTCAGCATTTCTTTCACAGAAAACTATATAAAAAATGTTATTTAAAAGATATAAAACTCAATTATAAAGATCTCACAGCATAAGGCACAATGAAGACCTGAACACAAGCTATAGTCACAGAGCTATCTCTCTCTGATAAACTGCCTCGTCCTGCATTAGAAAAGTACGCAGTTAAAACAACCAAAAAGCTAATAGAACAATGACAAGAAAAGGAAACCTATTAATTATTTATGATTGCACATAAAGTTCCTAAAATGCAATTATTCTGCTCAAAATTCACCCTAGCCAGTTATTGTGTTCACTGTTTGGTTTTATTGTAAAGTCTATCAGTTGTTCTCTACTGTTATTGTATGTCATGCATCAAATATAATATGAACCACTGCAGTAAAACATTTAAAAGTTGCAGTGAGTTAAAACATGATAACTCAAAACGAAAATGATAAGACAACATTATTACAACCAAAATAAAAATCAATTAAACTGGTTCCAAACTC